AAAGATGTGAATAAACAGGGCATTTGTAAGCAAAACATGGCAATGGCTTACAAAGCAACCCCGTGTGCAAACTGTGTGGCTGTTTGCAGCTGGTCAGGGAGGATTCACACCAGCACTCAACACAAAACACCACAGTAACTCCTGCTTGCTGATAGAAATAATGACAGAACAGTGGGAGTGCTCTAATTGTGAGAGTGCCCCTGGATTCTGGATATTCGGCCAGGTTTGCCCTTCTTTTTTGTGTGTGTGTGTGTGTGTGTGTGTGTGTGTGTCTTGAGGGGTGGGGGGGTGTGGCTTTGTGGCCCAACTGTGTGAACCATGTCCACCTCAGCCACATGCAGGAAGCAGCTTATTGACAATTCACAGCCGTGGAGTTCAACCATGGCAAAAAAACGAAAGCCTTAGCTCTGTCACAGCAAGTGTTTAATCCTCTGGGAGAACAGGGCAACTGAGAGAGTTTCTCTGAGGATTCCAGTGGGTATTCTTTCTGGCTTTTCCTCGGGTTGCATGTGTTACTTTCCTCTTGACCCTCTGCTGTTTGAATGACACTCTGGAATCTTCAGACAGGCAAATCAAATCGACATCACATCACTCCACCATAGTGATATTCGATTGCATTATTTCTAGCACCTTTCACATTGTTACATGTTCCAAGGTACTTTGCAGGAAACAAAATCTAACACCAAAACACAAAGGGCGATATCGGGACTGGTGAAAAAAGTTTGCTGACAGAGGTGGGTTTGAATGAGCTTGTTTAAGGAGGAGAGAGAAGTTGTGAGGTTTGAGAAGGGACTTTGAGACCTTGGGGTCCTTCAGCAGTTTAGGTCAACGGTGGAGTGATCAGGGATGGTCAAGAGGCTGAAATCTGTGAGGAGCTCTGAGATCACAGAGGAGCTGACCGAGTGAGCACGGAGGGTTGGGGGAAGGTGCGAGGCCGCAGAAGGTTTGGAGAACGAGGATGTGAAGGAATTGATGATTGAGCTGCTCCAGTACTTAGCACATTTCTGTCAACCACACTCAACAGTAACATTTCTGCTTTCAGGCCATCCTTGCTGGAACTTAGCTTTGTGCACCTCCTCTGCAGCTCTTAACCTGTATTCCTTGCTTTGTCGCAGCACCGTATGAACTCTGATACTTGTTATGATCTGCCTGTACTGCTCGCAAAACAAAACTTTTCACTCTACTTTGGTGCATGTGATTATAATAAATCAAATTAAATAAAGTCCGGAATAGCCCATAGAGCCTGCTCTGGCATCCAAGAGAATCATGGCTGATGATCCACTTTAGGGCCTTTTCTCGTTACTTGTGAGAGATGCACATTGTGTTTGAGGAGATGGAAGGGACAGCACAGTGAGGATCAGGTGTGTTTGTATCTTCCTGAAGACAAACTGAGATAAAATCAAGGGGAAAAATCCTGCAGGAAGTGGGAAACATCAAGTTTATCAACCAATTTATTGAAAAGATTCCAGTTAACATAGTAAATATAAACACTGCCAAATACTTTCCAGGCAATGTTAATAGTAAGCAAAACAGAAGCAACCATGTCTGTTTCCATTTCTGCTGTCATGCTGGGCTTTCTGGCTGACACAGATAGGAATACAGATGGTCCTGAGTGTGGAGCACCTCTGTTGGCCACATCCTCACAGTTTATATTCCAAAATGGAAAAACTAAAATCAGGCAGCCTCTTTGCACGATTGTCTGAGGTCCTGTTTTGCAGCATTTGACACACTTTCTTTGAGATCACTGTGATCACATAGCACAGAAAAACCCAAAATATCTGCAACAGCTCTTTGAAAGGCAGTTATGCTTAGTGTTCCACAGAATATCACAGCGATAAGTAGGACGAGACACCTTGATGCTTTGACCTTAGTTCTATTGCTTCGAAAAACACTGGTGGTTGGCAGGTTATGTGATTGATTTTTCCCCTTCAAATCCAAGTGAGGTGAGCCTGGTCATGATGCTGATCCCAGTATGGTTCGAGTTACTGAGGTAGAACAGAACAGAAAGCTGGGTGGATGTCCAGTGCACAAGCTGAAAATGCAGGAGCACCATAGCATGAGATCAGTGATGTGATCTGGCCAGCTCCAACTCAAAAACACACTGCAAGATATGGCCAGGGGAAATTTGGGATAGCTTTCTGTTTCAGCCAGGGAGGACAGTCCAGGTCTTTGTTTCTGATGAAGGACATATGCAAAATGTTGACAGACTTTCTCCCCCCCTGGCCCCCCCCTTTCATTTTGCTCTCCCTAACTCTGAATCCGATTTCGAGTGAGATTGCAGGATTGAGCATCAGCAAGTGCTGCCCAGACCTCAGTCACTCACACTGTCACTTCAATTCACTGAGTCAAACCCTGATCCCGGCTCCCGGGGCTGCAGAGATCTAGAGACAGGGTACGCCTTTCATCAGAGAGTTGCACTGTGCTGTCTTCTCTGGCAGTTCTCATGACATTACAGCTGCAACCAAGATGTGGCTGAAAGATGGACAGGTCAGTAGCTCAGTGTTCGTGGTTATCGGGAAGGCGATGGCCTAGTGGTATTATGGCTGGACTGTTAATCCAGAGACCAAGATAATGTTCTGGGAACCCGGGTTCGAATCCTGCCATGGTAGATGGTGGAATTTGAATTCAATAAAATATCTGGCATTAAAAATCTAATGATGACCATGAATCCATTGTCGATTGTCGGAAAAAACCATCTGGTTCACTAATGCCCTTTAGGGAAGGAAACTGCCATCCTTACCTGGTCTAGCCTACTTGTGACTCCAGACCCAGAATGTGGTTGCCTCTGAACTGCCCTCTGGGCAATTCGGGATGGGCAATAAATGCTGCCTGGCCAGCCCTCATTCCATGAATGAATGAATAAAAAGATATCAGGGACCCTGACAGTAATTTCCATATCCTCTCTCAGGCCACAGGTAAGACCCCACAGGAGTGGAGAACTGCTAGTGTTCTTCCCTGATTAAAATAGCAAGGGATATAGCAGGAAATTACAGGCCAGTCAGTGTTGGGGAGGTTATCTGATTGAATTCAGAGGGACAGAATAAATCTACATTTGGAGGGACACAGATTAGTCAGGGATAATCAGCATGGATTTGTTAAGGGAAGGTTTTATTTGACAAGTGTGATCAGCTTTTTGTGGCGTTAACTGGGGGGGTGCGGAATTGAAGAGGGTCATGAATTTGATGCGGTTGTGACGGACTTCAGCAACGTCTGAGATAAGGTTCCACATTCCTGACTGTTCAAGAAATGAAAATCCCGTGGGGTTGAAGGCACAGTGACGTGCTGGATCCAGTACTGGCTGTGAGGCAGGAAGCAGACGGTGATGGTGGAGGGATGTTTCCAGTGGTTTAGCACAGGCCTCGGTGCTGGGGCGCTTGCTGTTTGCAGTGTACATTACTGACTTGGATTTAAATGTGGGGAGTACGATCAGGAAATTGACAGATGACAGGCTAGAGCGGTTAATGGAGAGGAGATAGCTGGAGTGTGTAGGAGGATATCAATGGACAGGTCAGGGCAAATGGAATTCAACCTGGAAAAGTATGAGGTCATTCACTTGGAGAGGGTTGACAGGGCAAGGACAGGACCTACTATGAACGCTAGGACCCTGGAAAGGACTGAAGATCAGAGGGACCTGCAGGTAATAGGGCAGGTAGATAAGGCATATGTGATACTTGCCTTTATTCACTGAGACATAGAATACTAGAGCAAGGAGGTGATATTGGAGCTGTATAAAATGGTGGTTGGGCCACCACTGCAGTAGCGTGTGTAGTTCTCACCACATTATCGGAAGAATGAAATTAGAAGAAAGTGGATGCAGAGGAGATCTACCAGGATGTTGTCTGAGCTAGAGTGTGAATTGAACTGGAGTTGTTTTCCTTGGAGTAATGAGGGTTGGGAGGGTATCTTATGGAGGTGTATAAGGTTATGAGGAGCACAGCTAGGGTGGGAGAAAGGCACTTTTCTCATGAGTAACCAGAGATTATAGCTTGAAGGTAAGAGGTAGGAGGTTAAGAGGAGAGCTGAGAAACTGTTTTCACCTGATGGTGACTCTCGAATGTATTGCCTGGGAGCTTGGTTGAGTCAGAAAATCTTGTGTGTTGACCAGTGTGGACCTGGTGGGCTGAATGGCCTTGTCTTGTGCTGTCCACATCAAGGAGTTTGCTGAATTTCCTTTGCTCACACCCATAACTTTGCAGTGTGCCCCCAAGCTTTGGGCTGTATTTTTATTGAGCTTTTGCAGTATCAGTTTGGAATGAAACTGACTGTCCCTTTCCCTTTCCCTTTCTACCTGCACCATGTCCAGGGCACCATGAGACATTGAAGTCGATTGGTGAACAAAAGGCTGGTGCTCTCTGGAGTTGGACCATTCACGGATCATCTCAGGAGCCAATGGACTTGAGAAAGAGAAAATATTTTCCTCTGCTCCGGGGAACCCAGAGGAAAGGACATCAAATTAAAATTCAAGCCAGGCCTTTCAGGGGGATGTCAGGGTGCGTTTCCTCGCACCATGGATTGCGGGAAGAAGCTAATCTCTTCCACCCTATCCTCAAAATAAATGACATTAAACTTGGAGTCAATTGAAGATTTTGACACTGAGATCGCTCGGTTTTTGTTTGTCTGTTAAAATTTATGGATGTAAAAGTCAGGCTAGGTTGATGGAATGATACCAGAATTCGGACAAAAATCTCTGAATGGTGGAACAGATATGACGGGCTGAATGGCCTGCTCTGTTGCTGACAGTTCCATATATGAACCTTTTTCCCTGGCTTGTGGGCTTCAGTGATGGAGGTATTTAAAATGTATGGAGTATTTACAGTGTTCAGGATGTAAACATTGTACAAAGGATGAAAACCTAATCTTGCACTGGGGAACAATTACCATTTAAAAATCAGTGAGCAGTGTTGGCTGGGCCCCTCAGATCCTGGTTTCCACTTGCCAATGGGCTACAGTTTGTATGAAAATATGGTTGCTGATGATGGACAGGGAGACAAGAAAAGGAATTGAGGCCTGTTACGTTTTATTTCTGACCCTCAACTTCCAATATTTCCATCACTTGCTGTTGACCTGCTGTTTGAAATTGTTGGTCATTTGTTCTCAAAGGCTGTGTTGTTTTGGTGAGCCTTTTCTCTCCTCCCCATTCTTTCAGTGACCCGTTGTCACGTCACCTTCAGGGCATGTGCTGTACTCCAGCAGCCCACCAGTAATGGCCAGTGACTCGAGCATCGAGAGCTCGCTGTGAACAGGCGAGTGTAATGTCACAGCGCCCTCAGTCTTCCACCTTCACGATGACACGTGTCTTGTAAACATTGAGAGGGTACAGTGTGAGGCAGTCATTCCTCAGTCATCTCAACTTGAAGTCAAGTCATCTGGAAATTTCTGATCATGTGCTGGAAAAACCCTCAGATCCACTCAGTGATTGAAACTGAATCAAGCAGAACAGTTTCTTGCACTTGTTATAAGGCAGTGGCGACAATCTCCTGGTAGTGAATATTGGCACTCTGCCTGTCCCCACCCCCAGGATCCCTGGCCTCCAGCTGAGTGGAAAGTTGCTGAATAACTTTCTGCAGGCTCTGGTTCTGGTGCAGCACCTCAGTGTAGCTCTGCTGGAGCTGTTTCTGGTATTCGATCACTCGCTGCTTCTCCAGTTGCCACATGAGCCGCTCCTGGCGAATGTTGCTGGAGAGCTCCCAGTTGGTTTGCTTCTCCTGTTGCAGCTGGGATCGTAAGCTTGCCAGCTCCCCTCGCCGAGCCACGGGGTCTTGGTCAGGCTGGCGTGGGAGCAACTCCCTGCAGCCACTTTGGGAGGCTGAGGGATCGGCCTGCGCAGCGCGAATGTCCAGCTCTTTGCGGCTGGCTAGCTGGTGCTTCAGATGCAGTATCTGGCCATCCAGCAGGCCCACCTTTTCCCTCAGCAGGTCGGCTGCATTCTTCACGCGCTGCCGCTCGTTTTCACACACTTCGAGATCTCTTTCCCTGGCTTGCAGGGAGTTTTGCAGCTCCTCGACCGCCTGTTCCCGGGCAGACAGCTTCCCTTTGGCTTCCCTCAGCTGGCTCTTCAGTGACAAGAGCTCGCTGCTCTTCTGCATCAGCTCAGCCTGTGAGTCTTTCAGCTGCTGTTTCAGCAGCGAGATCTCCCCTGACTTCTGGCAAACCTGAAACAGCAATATTACAGAACCCACTGTCAGTGCTGTGCATTATTCACATGGAACGCCAACAAGAACCTCAGTTTATATAGCCTCTTGAGGGCAGTTAAACAATCCCTGCCACCTGACGGAAGTAAATGCCATGATAGACAAAAACATGGTCAAAAGGCCAGTATCTTATAACAGGAGAGAGAGGTCTCAGAGGCAGCAGTGAAAATAGCACACTCCTAGTTGGAAATGGAGAAGTTTCGGGAACCCTCCCACCGAATGGAAACCAGGTAGAAGTGCTAACAAAGATTGTCTCTACCCACTGACAGCGATCTGACACAGCATCAAACTCAAATTCACAGCACTGGAAAACATATCACCGTGTTCCTCAAATTCCAAATCTCCCAATCTTTCCACAAGCAACCCAAACCATTTTGTTGCAAAGCAGCTTTATATTTAATATTGCTCAAAGGATTTCGATACCTCTTTCCACAATCCTTATAAACTCATTTCAAGTTCCATGAAAATGCCTGGAGTAATTTCTTTAAACATTCTTTAACAAGATTTCCCAGCAATCACGTGATGAGGGATAAGTGCTTGCTTGGCTGGAGACCACCATTTGAGGATAAGGTTTGGTCTGGATATGGTTTAATTGATCATCTTGGTAACCAGGAAAGTATTTTGTTTTATGATGGGACCTGTGGAGTAGTGGGACGAGAGAAACAATCTACTTTCGAGCCTCTGTAGGAATAAAACACGCCCACATGTGACTGCCTTGTTTTTATGAACAGTGACCAGCTTGGGAGAGGTTCTTGGTTGAGTTGAAGGGAAGTCTCCTCAGAACAAGCTTCCTAACTGATCTCTCCCATTTTGGAAGAGAAAACACTCTTCATGAATTCAGGGAGAAAGTGCTTTATTCTTTTCAAAGACCACCTCAAGATTTTATTTCCTGAGCAAACTGTGTTGGCAAGACCTGAGAGACAACAGTGCACAACTGGTGACTTCACAACACATTTACAATGTTTAAAAGACATTTGGATAAATATATGAATAGGAAAGGTTTCGAGGGATCTGGGCCAGGAGTAGGAAAGTGGGATTAGTTTAGTTTGAGATTATGTTCGGCTTGGATTGAAGGGTCTATTTCCGTGCTGTATGACTTTGTATGCCAAAGCATCAAGAGCAACACACTCCAGGGCATCCTTTTGCCTTCAAGAACAATCCACTATTTTATTTCTAACCAATCCCAGCAGATAAATCTGTTTTTTGCTTCTCCTTTCTGAAGAGGGTTTGTGTCTGTTTTGGGGATATTTATAGAGATGAGCATAGAGACCTGTACATGACTGACTGACTGTGTATATCAGTCAATTTTTGCATCTTTATGGGATAAGTTTTGTGTTGATACTAAAGAAGAGACCTGGTTGATGGATCTTGTTGTTTAAAACCTGGTCTGGATAAGGTTTAATTGGTCATCTTGGTAACTGAAAAAGCATTTTTATTTTATGATGTGACGTGTGGAGTAGTGGGACTAGAGAGGTAGTCTACTCCTCAAGCTTCAGTCTAACAAAACACGCTCACACGTGATTGCCTTAAACTGAACTGGGTGAGTTTGAGCTGACAGTATCCAGTCCCACTTGAAACTTGAAACACTTAAACAGCCTAAACAAGTGCAGGAATATCTAAGAGGGTCCAGTGTGTGGTCCATGTTTTAGCCATTTATAGAGCCGTGTTTCTGTTACAGTGGTGAGAAAGAGCTTGCCGTCAAATTCCAATTTGGCTTCTGAGTTTCAATTTATTCTGCTCAAGGTTTTCAAGAGAATTATTGAGTCTGAAATGTACTCAGTGCAGAAGGTCCCTGTCTGTTGTAAATACAACAAAGGTAATCAACATTGGGAGAACAGTAAATACCCTTAGGATTGTTGTGGCCAGAGGTCACAGCTTTCCTTGCCAGTCAGTTTGAGACTCTGTTACGGTAGCTGTAACGTTTGTAGCTTTTCCATCATTGTATCGGTGCACCTTTTCATCTTGTGTGTAACAGGGACTGAGGAACGAAATAGGCTTGTTACAAACTGTACAGAGCCGCAGCTGGAGTGCAATGTACAGATATGGTCTCCATGAGGGAGGGGTACATATCCATGGGAGGCACTTCAGAGAAGGTTCACTCGGCTGATTCCGAAAAGGAAGACACAATTTTATTGGGGGAAGAATGACCAGATTGGGCTGATCCTCCTTGAACTCCAGAAGACTAAGAGGTGATCTCATTGAAACATCTCAGATTCTGAGGGGACTTGACAGGGTGAAGACTGAGAGGATGTTTTCCCCTTCTGAGAGAATCTAAAATTACAGAGGACCAGAGTAAGAATATGGGAGATGAGGAGGAATTGTTTTCTGTCAGAGGATTATTAGTCTTTTCCCCAGAGGGAGGTGGAAGTTTGGTCATTGGATATATTCAAGGCTGACTGGCACATTTCCATTTGAAAGGAGTCAAGGGTTGTCGGGAGCACACAGCAAAATGGACTTGAGATAAAGATTAGACTAGCCGTCATTGTAATGCTTAGCGCAGCAGGCACGGGAGACTGAACAGCTGGCTCCTTCTCCAACTCATTACGTTCTTAACTTCTTATGACCTACCTCCCACTTTGTTTCTTCCAGCTTTGGAGCAAGCTCAGTTTGTTCCCTTTGGTAGGCTTTACATTTGGCGTTGAGGTTGTCACGCTCCTGCAGGAGTTGTGTGAAGTCTTCCTGAAGCTTGGCCTTGTCTTGTTTGAGTTGGCTGAGCTGAAGCAGGACGAGCTGGTGTTGGTTTCTTGGTGCTTTCTGATGGACTTGGTTTGTTTTGGTGTCACACTGCGTCACGCTGGCCATCTCCCGCTTGCTCTCTTTCTTGCTGAGGATGGCCGTCTCCTTCACATCCTGAGCTGGTGGGAGTCCCTCCAACGCAGCAGCTTTCCAGGGCTGGTGAAAGTTTGTGCTGTGGCTAGCCTGCCCGTGCCCACTCTCGGAGGCGGACGCGCTGCAAGTTCCAGTCCTCAAGATGCTGTCCAGAGAGCCCGCTCCCTGACCGATGTGATGAGCTGAGCCGCCAAACCTGCTGAGAAGGTTTGCTGCCCCAACTGGCTCCGTGCCACAGCTATATCCCGTGCTTGGAGTGGGCAGGCTAGACATGGAATTTCGACCCGAGTCTGACAGGGTTCCTGAATGGTTTGTGCTTTTCAGCTCGTGAGCTTCGCGCGTCTCCGAATGCGTAGCTGCCTTCGATAGATTGCCCTGAAATGCTAGGTTTCGGTTTGTCAGCTTTCCTGAGAAACAGTTCAGATTGGCGTTGCCGTTCCTTGGTGCCATCCCCTTCAACGCTGTTGGCCTGACAATGTTCTTTTCCGTGCTCTATCGAAAGAGTAAAAGACATTGTTAATCTCACCCGTGTTGTGCCGATTATTGGTTTCATCCCATTATTGCCAGTCTCTGTCCGTTCCTTAACCACCCACACTCGGATCTCGAGGGTTTCTGTGTTGGAGGGGATGGTAAAGCACAGGAGATGGCCAGTGTTCCTGTGATCTTCCACTGTAATTTCAGCAGAAATTCCAGTGAAAGGTTACAAGTGACCATCCATCCTGTTTCTCTGGGGTTTCTGCCTGTTTCTGGAGAAGATTGGTGAGGTCCACGAGGTTATGAGCTCCTGCACTTTTGGACACTAACTCTGGGAATGAACCAAGACTCCTCTAACAGCACCTTCCAAACTCATGACCTCTATAACCAAGTAGGACAATGGCAGCACCACCTGCAAGTTCCTTTCTAAGCACACACCATCCTGATTCGGTCATATATCACCTTCCCTTCAGTGCCGCTGGGTCAAAATGGTGGAATTCCCACCCTCAGGGCATTGTGGGTCTACCTGCACCACATGGATTGCAGCGGTTCAAGAAGGCAGCCCAGGGTTACTAGGGACAGGTGATAATGACTGGTCCAGCCAGCAGTAGCCATGTCCCAAACAAAATGAAGTGCCAAGGATCTTAAGCCAATGCTCTGAGACGACCAGGCACAGATGCTCAATGCTCTTCCTTCAAGCAACAAAGGTTGTGATGAAGAGTCACCAGACCCGAAACATTAACTCTGCAGATCACAGCGGCTCAGACAGCATGCACGGAGAACAGCAAGCTAACGTTTCAGAGTTGAAGATGAAGAGTCAGTTAGACTCAAAATGTTAGCTTGCTCTTTCTCAATGGATGCTGTCTGACCCACTGTAGTTTGTTGTTTTCAGAACAGATTCCAGCATCTGCAGTAATTTGCTCCAACAGTAACTGTGTTCTCCCCACAGATGCTGCTGAGTTTCTCTATTAATTTCTGTCTTTGAACAACATCAGCTCATTCATGTGGGATCTCACTGTGTGACAACTGGCCAACCTATTTCCTGAGCTGAAAAGCACCATTTCACTTCACAGTTAATTTCTTCACTGTGACAGCCTATTGACCATGTTGTGCTAAGTAACACTGAGCCCTCTGACTTCAGACCTGAAGATCTAACAGCAATTTCAATAAATCTGACTACTTGAGGCCAGCAAAGTTACTGGATTGTCCTAAACATCAGAGCGTGTGATAACAGTGTGTGTGTGTGTGTCCCATCTCTTGAAGTGAGTCCCATCCTTCAGGTAGCTGGGAATGGGCAGCAAACGTGACCTTGCCCTTGTTTCAGACCTCCCTGGAAGAAGCTGGGGGACAGATGTTTGCAGGTGAAGGGATGGCTGGAAAATGGGAAGCCTTCAAAAATGAGATAATGAGAGTCCAGAGACAGTATGTTCCTGTTAGGGTGAAGGGCAAGGCTGGTAGGTGTAGGGAATGCTGGATGACTAGAGAAATTGAAGTTTTGGTCAAGAAAAAAAAGGACGCATATGTCAGGTATAGATAGCAGAGACTGAGTGAATGCTGAGCAGAGTATAAATGCAGTAGAAGTACACTTAAGAGGGAAATCAGGACAGCAAAAACGGGACATGAGATAGCTTTGGCAAATAGAGTTAAGGAGAATCCGAAGAGATTTTATAAATACATTAAGGACAAAAGGGTACCTAGGGAGTGAATAGGGCCCCTGAAAGATCAGCAAGGCCGCCTATGTGTGGAGCCTTAGGAGATGGGGGTTAGACTAAATGAGTATTTTGCATCAGTGTTTACTGTGGAGAAGGATATGGAAGATACAGAACATGCGGAAATAAATAGCGATATCTTGAAAAATGTTCATATTATAGAGGAGGAAGTGCACGATGTCTTAAAGGTCTTGATCTGGTGTACCCCAGAACTTTCTGGGAAGCTAAGGGAAGTGATTGCTGGGCCCCTTGCTGAGATATTTGTATCATCGAAAGCCACAGGTGAGGTACCGGAAGACAGGAGGTTGGCTAATGTTGTGCCACTATTTAAGAAAGGTGGTAAGGAAAAGCTATCGACTGGTGAGCCTGACATTGGTGGTGGGCAAGTTGTTGGAGGGAATCCTGAGGGACAGCGTTTCCACGTATTTGGAAAGGCAAGGACTGATTAGGGATAGTCAGCATGACTTTGTGCGTGGGAAATCATGTCCCAGTAACTCGATTGAGTTTTTTGAACAAACAACAAAGCGGATGATGAGGGCAGAGCGGTGGATGTGATCTATATGGACTTCAGTAAGGCATTCCACAAGGTTCCTCATGGTAGAGTAGTTAGTAAGGTTACATCACATGGAACAGGGAGAACTAGCCATTTGGATACAGAACTGGCTCAAAGGTAGAAGACTGAAGGTAGTGGTGGATGCTTATCAGACTGGAGGCCTGTGACCAGC